CTCACCTTCGGTTGCCCAGCTGTGGGCTCCACCTCACCACACTGTTGTGGGCTCCACTGCACCATACCACATGACTGCTCCAGGCCAATGGCTCCTCTGGCACTGCAGACTTTGCCATGTTTCCCAACCCCAGCCTCTGAGGCAAGGCTATGCAGCAGAAGCCCAAGGATGTAGAAGGAGCTCTGAGCCCTTAGCTACTGTTTAAGCCAGAGCAATAAGGGCAACAGCAGCCAGATGGGAGTCCAGAGGACACATATTAACCCCTTGTGGGCTGCACGTGACCCACAGGCCAGAAGCTGGACAGCCCTAACAGACAAGATACTGCATCATGCATATGCACTAGAACCAGAACTGCAGCACACAGAATAAAAGTGTGTCAGATGCTGGAGACATGCATGTTGTATAGAACTTTACTCACATAGGTAGTCCCATGAAGTCACTACTCAGAGGAAGGATAGTTTTGATAATTCACTTGGGTTTCAGAAGAACTGAATTCAGATCCTTTATCTGTCACAAACTTCATGTGTGACCTTGTTTAATAAGTTCATGATTCTGCAGAGACTTACTCATAATGTACTCTGACTAACTTCACAGACTACTCATGATGTGAAAAGCTTTACACACACACACGCGCGCGCGCACACGCGCACACACACAGATTTTACAGGATCAGAGCTGTGATCTATGTATCATTTCTCCCTCTATAAAACTGAAGTAATAATACTTCCTTCCTCTGACCTTTTCTTTGTCTTATCTATTTAGATTATAAACTCCTGGAGGCAAGGTCTGTCTCCCTCTATTTTTACTGCATAGCTAATACAAGCGGGCCCTGATTTCAGCTGGGCTTCAAGTTTCAATTACAATATAAATTATAATATGTACTATGGTATATTTCTCTGATTCCTGCTAGCCCTTGCTTTTTTTAAATCTTCAGATTGCACAGTTTACTGTGATTTTGCTAATTTATTTTAACCAAGTAATCTAGCAACTGTTTGTCTTAAAGCATGCAAAGTCTATGATTTAAGCATATATTTAGTACTTTATACAACAGCAGTTCCTATCTCTGCATATAAGAGTGACCCTACATTCCTGCATAATGGAAAATTGTATTTTTAATACATGCACTGTTCCGAGCAGATACTATAGCATTCATGTGGTGCAGAGCATTGAACTCAGCAGGTTTTCAAGGGCTTTCTGGCAACACACCAGTTTTCAAACTCTTATCCTGTATTTTAACTGGAACCAAAAAAATTTCCAGCATGATGATTACCAGGGTTTAATTACATTTAGTCAGCCATGTAGTCCTTTCTCTCTGAAGACAAAGTGCCGCCAGAGACAGATTTACCACTGACCAACAGTGTTTTTATGCAAATGTGCCTGAGTAAGTACAGTAACCCCAAATTATAATAGAGTCTTTCAATCTCTTGCCAGGACAGCAATATTTATATATTTCAGAGATAAATTGGATATCAAAACAGTTCCATTACAGAAGGAAAGTTCTCTATGTAAATCACTGTTTCTAATCACACTGTATTTCTCCCCACCCCCTACCCTCCTTTGCTTTCCTTGTCTTAACTTCATACATGAATTCCAAATGTATTATTGTATTGCACATTCACTTTATATATTGAAGTGTGTATTTAGTGCAAAGATAAGAGGCAATATAAACTTTGCACTGAAAAGCTTTAAGGTTTCCAAGTGTGTTTCTTCTGGGGTTGGGAAAGTACTGTAAAGGGCTCAAATTCATGCATGGTGTTTTGTCAACTACTAGCGCAAGTTTTCATTTGTGCTCCTCCCCTCCACTTGCCTGAGAGGAGGAAGTAGACTGGTAATATCCCTAGTGACTTTATCCCCCCATCAGGAATGAGTGCACAGGGTCAGATGCGCCTCTGCATGCTAGTCAGAATCTGCTAACATCAGCACTCGCTCATGAGAGCTGGCTTTGTTTACTGATGGTGCTAATATGAGGAGACACGTGAAGTAGTTTGGTTTATGGAAGAGGGCAGGAGAGGCATGGTGCTGTGAAAACATTCCCACACAATCTAATGGCTCATTCAAATAGAAAACAAGTGAGAGCCTTCAGTTCTTTTACAATACTTAAAGTAGATCAAACTAACTCAAGAACCCAAAGGCAGCAGTCAAAAATCACTTTTCTAATGCACTGATCGCAAGGTACTCTCCAGGGCCGATTAGCTGTTAGAGCTCAGATCACATTTATGCATCTCAATGAAACAGCCTGATTTTAACAATACCTAGCAGTTGTAGTTGTTCTCACTGGGAAGTGCTGGATGCTAAACTCTTTTGAAAGTCTGATCTTCAACTTCTAAGTATTGGATAAAATTGATTATAGCAGATGAAGGATATATATAAGGTATAAAACGTGTCAGATAACTGTACATCAGAAAGTAACAAGTGATTAGTTTAAGATTGCTACTAAAAATATTCCTGTTTGGCCCGAAGTTCCTCCCATTTGTAGATGACTGTCTCATTACAAGCGTGAACATTTTGAAGTGGCCTCACTTTTCAAAGGTCAAAACCAGTGTTCCCGTGTTTATCAAACCACAATTTTTGGATGTAGGTAGTGTGGATCAAGGGGCAGGATTTTGTCCTTAGTTACCTGCTGTCACTGGCACGAGCATCTCTGTAACTGAAAAATGATGCATCACATTTATGTCACTGCAAATGTCACTATCTTGAATCTTGCATATGTTGCATGAGCTGTCAGTAAAAAAAAAAAAAAAAATCTGTTCTTAATTATTCTCCCATTATTTAAAAAATAATTTTAATCACCTAGTAATGGACCTATGATGTTAATTTATCCAGATTTAATACATGATTTAATACATTTATAAAATGTTGTATGCTTTTACTATCTAAGACATTTTGTCTTTTAAACCTCTGGGGATATCAATGAAAATGGAATATGTTTAAGCTTGATTTATGATTGGATATACATATGAGTAACTTCAGTGTTAAGAGAATATTATATTTTTAACAAAGCAGGCAATAGAAAACTATAAATACAAAGTTATACTTATGCTTTTTAAAATAAGAAAACAAATGAATATGAAAATGCTTTTGTCTGGGGTGTTTTAGACAGAAGTGATACTGCCCAACAGCATTGGACAACATGACTTCTTGAGGTCTTTTTCAGAACTTTTTTCTATGATTCTATTGAAAAATCCAACAGAGCTGCTATATTTTGGTCTATTCTCTATTCTAATATTTTAAAATAATAAAGATTGTGTTTGTTGTTGCACTGTCATTGTATGAAACTAATTTCACTCTGAAAAAAAACAGCAAGGACATAGAGAAAAAGGAGAGAATAAAATGAAGGTACTTTCCAGCAATAATCTTTCTGACTGAAAAGGAATAATCTGGACCATGTACTAAAGAAACTGTATTCTAATTCTTCACCAAATTTCCCCCTTGGTACACAGGTTTCAGTAAATTACCTCAATCTAAATCCCAAAGAAGTTAAAGATTCCTTCTGAAACTTTAGAACAGCGCTTTAGTTACAAAACTTATCATGAATTCCACCAACATTAATGGTTGAAGAGTTAAAACATACAAATAATAATGTTCTCTCCTTTCCTTTGGCAATGTCATAAAGATGACCTCTCAGATTTTAACTTTTTTTCTACTTCACTAGCTAGACTATCACATGGTAGCATGGATATTAACAGGCAGTTTATAAAATAAGGGACATTGAAGCATAATATACAACTGAAAGAAAATGTTTCTATTCCCTGTCCATCTGTTCTTGGCAACATACATTTCAACTGGAACTTGTAAAACATTTTGCACAAAGCAAAGCAAGTGGGATCCAAATAGGATTTTGCTAACTTGGGTTGCATCACAAACTAGTCTCAAATATGAATATTGATATTCATGGTTACAGACCCTTTTTGCATCCTAAACTGTGTCTACAGATTCCTTGAAGTCAAGTCAAGAAGTGTTTATTTCACTTTCAATAGTGTATTAAATTAAATTTTAGAAAGTTAAGTAACAAGGATGTCACATGCATATTTTAATCTCTCTCTCTCTCTCTCTCTCTCTCTCTCTCTCTCTCTATATATATACACACACACATGCTCATACACACACGCATGTATACAGTGTATATAGTGTGTGTGTGTGTATAAATCTGGCATTTCCTTTCTTTTTCAACTATATAGATAGTTCTTTTTCAGCTATATATATAGTTGAAAAAGAAAGAAAATACCAAATTATATATATATACATACACACACATGTTGTATGTGTATACATATATAGTGTGTGTGCGTATATATATAGTTGAAAAAGAAATACCAAATTAATAATTATCTATGCAACTTCAATTTTGCTCCATTTTATATCTAACTTGTGCGTTCCATGTAAGACAAGAGTCTCATAAAAATTACAAGTTATCATGTAATTAAACACTGTATTATGATGCTACAGATAAGGGGTCAAATTAAAGTTGTAGAAGGCCACCTGAATGGAATTTAATGAGACAAGAATAAGGCAGTTCTCTAGCTCAAGGCCTTTTCCTCTACCAAATTTCAGAGACCTGCTGCAAACAGTAGAGTTGACACAACTTCTCAAAAAAGATTAAAAGAATCTTTTATAACGGTATGTGCTACGGTATTGAAATAGGAGTCATGTCCAGTTCCTCACATAATAATATAATCAGTATTATAGGTATATAATAAAATACCCTTTAATATTATAATAAACCATGGACAATTCTTATTTGATTTCAGATTTTTTTTTTTTTGGTAGGTTGTTTTGGATGACTTGCAAGTGAATCTAATTTTACTAGGCCTTAATGCTGTAACTAACTTCTAGTGAATTTAGGTAATGTTGTCACACTTTTTCCCCCCCAGTACTTCTCATCTGATGTCACTATCACAGTCATTTTTGCTATTGATACCTATCTGTCATGTTACTTCAATATTTATTTCTAGATGAAGTATCAGTATTTTCCTAAACAGCAGTGTGTTGCATTGTTTCAGATCTGAGTGATCAGCTGATGGAAGTGGTTGGTCTGGAAGGAGCTATGGAAATGGGTCAGATATATACAGGACTGAAAAGTGCTGGAAGGCGGCTAGCCCAGTGTTCATCTGTTGTTATCAGGTATAATATTTATTCTGCCTAGCATATTGCAATAACACATTCATGTTTTATATGCCATTTGTTCATTATATTTGTATTCTAACAACCACATTCATATCTTTTGGTTAAAAGCAATTATTTGCTACATATTAAATGAAAGCTACATACTACATGCACAGGAAAACCTGTCAAAGGTAGATGGTTAATGATTCCATGTGTCCATGAAGTTTCCTTTCTTTCAAACATATCAAAAAGAGACCAGACAAATTCTTAACGTTAGTCTTTACATGGTATTTTCAGCTTTTACTTCATTGTGAAAGGAAGCTTGGCCAATAGTTAGACCAAAGGATGGCAATTTAAAACTCATGGGTTTCATTATTAACACAATCTTTGTGTAACTTGAGTCATACAGCTTATCTTTGGCGTATTTTATGCCATATATAATTAGTATCTTCATATAATCAGTATCTTAATACTTCTGTATATGTATAATCAGTATCTTAATACATTCTTCACCAGACTTAGCAGTTTTGATTAGTGTTTGTAAAGGACTTTGTGATACTCAGAACTCAAAATCCTTAATTTTAATGTATGTATTTATTGAACAATGACAGGTCAGTGTTAATAAAGGTACTGGTATATTATAGCCATGAAATAACAGGACAGGCTAATTTGGCTGTGACTTTATTTCCTGAGCTAAAAGTGAACATGGTTTTCATTGGTAAAAGTAAGTGCTGAGTACAACCAAGGAAGACCTATACGTTCAATTTATGAAATATTACAAGAGCAGAAATTGCAAAGTCTTTCACTTATGGAATATGGGTGTGTGTAGATGAAATGGGGGCCCTAAATTGAAGTGGTGGGTTTTAAAAAACACTGCTTCAATTTAGGGCCGATTAAACCCTCATGTCATGCACACGCCCCGCTGATTTACCTGCCTCTCTGATGGGGAGGGGAGGGTGAGCTGCCCGTGGGTGGAGCAGTCCCTGGGCTGCAGGCAAGGTTGGTGCTTCCCTCCGCGGCGGCAGCGGGACCCCCAGATGACACCTGCCTGCAGTCACCTGGCTTGGGCTGTCCCAGGGGGCACAGCAGCCTGGAGGGAAGCACCAGGCCCCCACGCAGCTCATGCAGGCTCCAGGGAGGGGGGAAAAAAAAGATCAGCTCACTGCTTTTCTTGGGCGGAGACGCTGCTGCCAGGCTGCCTGCAATGCTTCCTGCAGAGCTTCACAGAGCCTGGTGCCTCGCTTTGCAGCTGTAGGGGCAGCTTTAGTTTTAGTTTTAGTTTGCAGTGCCCCAAGTCATTTAAGGTGCATCATGCTGCCGAATTTCCTACAGCGGGTGGAATTAATGCACAATACGCCACCGAGGTGTGCAAACACTGACACCATTAAAGCGATGCAAAAGCATTTAGTCCGCTTTAAAGTGTCGTGCACACATGCCCCTCATTTTATCTACACACGGCCCATGTCGCACCCTTCCTCGTCCCATGCCAGAAAAGACTGCATGAGAAAAGGCCATGTAAGCCTTTAAGAAAAGAAGATGGAATTTTTTCAAATGACTGGGGTTTGTGTATGTTTGTGTATATTGTTTTTAAAGCATGATGCCCAAAGTGAATACCACATCAGAGCCCCTGGATTAGAAGGCTAAACAGTCTCATTTCCAGTTCTTAAAAGGAAAGCTTCTGTGAACAATCAAATCAGTTCCCTGAAGTACTGTTATGCGACTACAAGTAGGGTAACCAGAACTAGACGCAGGTTTTATGATAATCATTTCTTCTGTCATAAAAAAATATGTTGGTGTGGCTGACAGAACGTTTTTGTTTCCTTCATCACTGTTGGTCTGAAATTGTTACAGGTAGCATGGGATTCTCTTTATTATTATTTATTAGTTGTACTGTAGTAGCATGTAGGAGCCCTAGTACCACTGCACTAGCCCCTATGCAAACTCATGGGAAAAAGGCAGTCCTTGAAATCAAGTTTATCCCTAAAGTTCTGACATAATTAACTCTGAATTCACAAGCTTCAGTGTCCTCTCTCAGAAAAGAGAAGCCCCATATTTTGAACATGCCAGTATACTTTTGTTCTGAATTATAGAAGTACACTTAAGCCCTGGTTATATGTTACATTCGTAACACTGAATGCACCCTTGTTGTGCTACAAAAAGTGAGTGTACAGCCTTTCAAGCTGTTTGTAGCACTTTAACAATGCTGCAAGTCAGTGGTGCTTCCTGTGGAAAAAATCCACCCAGGGTAGCCATTTCTCACCCTTTGCCCCCCTTTCTCTCTTACCTTTGAGCTTGCAGGCACAGGAAGAGCAGGAAGCAGAGAGCTGGAAAGCCTCATGAAGTGCAAGGCATTTTGGAAGTCGTAGTTCTCCAGAGTGGCAATGGAGTTTCCTGCAGCTGAGGCAAATTTCAACCCCATTTTTTGCCATTGAAACCCATGTCCAAAGGGCAAAAAACAACACTGGTTCTGGCAGCAAGAAATGGGGGTCAGTTCTTCACCAAGCAGCAGTGAACTCCATAGCGACTCTACGAAACTGATTCTCAAAATGTTTTGTACTCTGGGACACACATTGCCTGGACTGGCTGCTTTCTAGAGCCAGAAGTGCAGGCAGAGTGAGGCAGTCAGTAGCCCAGGGATGAGGCACCTCCTTTACCTGCCTCCCCACTTGTCCTTCTGGCACCCCTCCCCTTAGGCCAATAGTTTTCAAACTTCCAAGTTGCAGGACCCTTTCATATTACTTCTGCTGCTGAACCCCTATCCCTAGCTCTGGGCCATATGAGCTGATGTGGAACCAGGCAACCAGACCTAGTAATGATGGCATACCACTTTCCAGCCCACTGCACCATTACCCCCAATCTCTTTGCAGAACCCCTGATGACGTATTGTGGAACCTCAGTGTTTTGCAGAACAAAGGGGAGGGAGAGCTGTCAGGGAGCCCTTCTGCAACCCTGCTGAAGCTTTGCTTGTTGCTATAGCTGTGCCCAAACCTGGGTAGCCACAGCTCTGAGAAGCTCCCATGGGGGCTGCAGAGCTGATAACTGGAAACAGGCAACTGCGGGCTCTGCCAGATGAGCATTGATAGCCTTCCATGGCAGGGGAGAGGGCAGGCTATCAGTTATCAGGCTCCACTATGGGGTAGGGGGACCCAAGGAGCAGCCCCCTATTACCTGCTGGCTGGTGAATTTGTAGTTCTCCAGGCAGGGGGACTGTACCCCCATAGCACTTCCAATGATGAGACACTTCCTAGTATGACAGAGTAACGTTTGTCCAAACCACTAGGTTTGTCTGCAACACACTATGCATATACATTACATATGTCAGAGGAAAGCCAAGCTCTCTATTTTGTAAAAACATAAAGTCACATACATATACTTAATGACTGAAATTTTTGATGATACTAGTGGAAATTGAGTGCACAGCTGAGGACAACCTTGTAATTGCCTGAGTCTGTAATGGCGTCATGTATCTGTGTTCACAATGCAAATTTTCTGAATTTTGTCCAGGCACACTTCTTAATAAAATTTAATGTTTTTCCTTAGGACCAGCAAATCTCTGCCTATGCAGATTGATGGGGAGCCATGGATGCAGACTCCTTGTACAGTAAGTATGTTAGTATTTGCCATATGTCATGGAGCTGGTTTTCAAACAAACTTTGATGGAAAGGAAATATTTTTTCTTGACAAAATTGACAAACATCTCAAAACTTATTTTTTTTCAACCAGCTCTAATAAACAAACTTTCATTTCAGCTTTTCTTAAATGGTAGGCAAAGAGACAACTGAAGGCATCACTGTTGACTTAGCTTTTTCCTCATCAGTTTCTTCATATGTAGATAGAATTCACACCCACTCTCACATGAACACAAAGAAACAAAAAACCTGTAATTTAATCATGCTATTTCTTCTACAAGCTGAGATGGTAGGAAAAAAAAGACAGCTTGTTATTGTACTGCTTATTTTAAATACTTGAGAAATGCTCAGATACCGCAATGAAGAGCAAGCCATATAAACAGATAGATGCATGAAGCCAGAACAGTGGGGAACCTCATGAAATTTAGAACAAAATATTTTGGAGTTAAGGGATAGCAAATTACCTTGTGCAGTGATAGCTGGATGATTTAAAAAGCAACAATATGGCAGTCTGCACTTACACATGCAGAACAGAACCTGGGTTTTTCCACTCACTGGACTTGGAGAAGGACCGGGATAATCCATGGAAGGGGTTGTTGCCTGCATATTTTTTTACAAAATCCCATCTTAATGAACTATGATGCCATACACATGACCATCATGTGCATACAGCATAGGGTGACTTGCAGGTTGTGCATCTCTGTGCTGTCATCCTGTGACTCTGCCCAAAATCCAGTCTTTGTTAATGTTATCCAGACACTGTTCTTAATACAATTAAATATTTTGCTTTCAGGCTTGTAAGTCTATACAGTTTAAGAAAGAGAATCATGGATGCAGAACCAGGTCTGATATTTAAAATTCCAATGTGAGAAAATAGTAAATTATCAAGGATAATTATTGCTATCTAGTAAAAATACCCTTACAGAAACTGCACATGGTCTTGGGCTCAGCCCCTTCCCAGATTTATGCTGTTATTTTTTAAAGAAATTACTCTGTGTCCTACAAAAGCATGCTATGGAATATATTCATTTCCTTTTATAAATAAATGATGTATATAAGCTGTTTATTTCTTGAAGGCAAATAGTAGTGGCAGCAAAAGTGGACCTCAGTGAATCTCTCTGAATTTAGTTACAGAATCATTATAATGATTGTATTTTATTTAATTTTATTTTATATTACACAAAATATATCCCTTTTTTCTTCTCTGGAAAGGGTGAGGAGCTTTGTGTTTACTGATGTTGCTACTATTGCTCCTCACATTGTAATGAGCTTATCTGATCTCATTTTCTATATCCCATGCACAAAAATGATTTGTGCAAAAAACAGAAAGATAAAACAATAATGATGACAAACATAAGAAATCTTAATAGAATTTATCCTGGAATAGGTGCTAAGGAAACAGGGGCATTTACTCTCCACAGGGGGCACTTAGGACAGATAGAGTTGTGGAGGGAATTCTGCCCCTTCCCTTTCATAAACCTGGGATGACCCAGATCTGTTCAGTGACAGGGAGCCACTAGTACTGCTGCTTGAATATTTTAGGGGCAGTCTCTTAGAGTTTTCAAGCAACAGAGTCCCCACAGGGCTTCCTTGCAGATTACCACTTCATGGGCTACCAGGGAGCCAGTGCTCTCCCTGCCTCCCTTCCTTCTCCTTGGAGTGGGGGAAGGCAGAGGACTGAGATACTGGTGGTCCTCTGGACCTGAGAGAAGTATACATGCATTCAAGCTGGCATGAGAGAAAAGAGATCTTCCTGGTTGGAATTGCTCTCATATTTTTTGTGGAAAAGCCAGTTCTTTTCCATGAAAAACCTCTTGAATGCCCATATGCTAGCTTTTGGTGCCAGGAGAAAGGCATTTCTCCTGGCACAAATGTAATGCCTGCCCATAGCTTCAGCAACTAGAGCAATCACCCAAGATGCGAGAGATTTGGGTTTAATTCTTCCTCTGCTGATTCAAACCCCATACCCCAGAGAATGCCAGATACGCTGTTCTCAGACTCCCTCTTTCCAGCTCAGTGCCCTGATTACTGAGCTAAAGGGTTATGCTTCATGGTACTTCCTGGCTGTGGCCTAACAAATATTTATTTTAGAAATTATAAGATTAAATGTTTATTTTAAATATTTTAGAAGTAGAATAGTTTCAATAGAAAGGAGTTAAAATACCACTTACCCCTCCATAACTAATTTCTGTATTTAGTAGGGGTGCACCAATAGAGATTTTGGGGGCCGATACCGATAGCTAATATCTAAGGAAGCATATTGGCCAATACCAATCTGATATCCAATACAGCAGCCACCAGGTGGTAAGTCTGGTGTGGTGGAAGGGGAAGAGTTATGGGGGGCAGATCACCTCCCCCTGCGGTGAGGAAGGGGGCGTGAGATTGAGGTGCTGCTCATGGGGTGGGGCAGCTCCCACTGCTGCTTGCACCCTGAGAGAGCGGGGGGGGGCGGGGGATGTGCCCCTGGATCTGTGCAGCATGGGCTGCAGCTGCAGGGTGGAGCTGGTGCTGTAGAGGGATTTTCGTGCTAGGGGTGGGCTCTAGCAGCACTGAGAGGAGGCTGTAGTTATCCCAAGTTTTGCCGCAGCTCTGCTCCCAGCCCCATGTTGCCACCCAGCACCGCCCCGGCTGTACGCCCTGCCTCCACCCAAGTGCCGGGAAAAGCTGTGGCTGTGCTGAGCAGTGACATGGGAATGCAGTGAAATTTGGGATAGCTGCAGCCTCCTCTGAGCGCCACCGGAGCCCACTCCGAGCCCACCCACAGCAAGAAAAGCCCTGCGCAGTGCCGGAGTCGGCTCCACCCTGGAGCTGCAGCCCACGCCATGCAGAACCGGGGGCACACCTCCCCCATGCCCTCCCAGGGTGCCAGCAGTGGCAGGAGCTGCCTCCACCCCATGAGCTGTACCTTCATCTGGTGGTCCCTCCCACCCATCCCAGCTGGGCAGCCCTTGCCCCCTCCCTCACCGTGGGGGGGTGTTGATCAGCCCCACCATGACTCTTCCCTCCCCCCTCCCCTTCCAACTCACCAGCTGGAGGCAGATCTCCATGCTGCTGGCTCTGCTCCATGCTGTGCTGCAGCTGCACAGCACAGGCATTCATCGACAAATTTATCAGCCCCATCAGGCTGATATCCAATGTAGACAATTTTCTTTATATTGGTAGTGATCCGATATCAGACTGATGTATCGGTGCACCTCTAGTATTTAGTTATAGAATAATAATATTCAGAAAGAGTCAGTGAATGGTGCCTTTGTGAAACAGGCAGCCAATGGATTATCTGCCTCCATTCCATAAAATGTTTTTATAGGATACGGAGTAGTTTCTTTTGACAGTAAAGAGTATATCAGGGAAGAGGTTATAGTCAAGAGCATCAGCAGTTTCTGTCACTTTTTAAAAGGTATTTTTATTAGATAGCAATAAATATTGGCAATCATTTACTACTCCCTCACAGTACTGCTTTGAATCTGGGTCTCCCGTTTGCTGGATGGGTGTTCTAACTACCGAACAATTGTACAATATCATACTACTGGAACCAGCACTACTTCCTCCTCCAGTTGCATTTTAAAGGGCTGGAAAAAAAACATGTTTCATTTTTAGAACAAACAGGTTTAAGCACCAGACTTAAAAGACATACTGGGCACATCTACATTAATGCACGGTAGTTACTGTGCATTTAGTTTAGTATTTTCTAAATGAAGTACTAACTGAATATGCAGCAACTACTTTTACTGTGCAGTAACACTGGTGCATGGGTTTTTTGTGACACTTACTGTGCAGTAGCCTAATAACACTGCACAGTAGGTTATTAGTACAGTTTTTGACTGGCACACTACTGCACAGTTTTATTAGGCTACCGTGCAGTAAGCATCTCGTGTAGATGTGCCCACTGGGAATCCTGAGAGAGATGCCTCCAGTAATGCTGAGTGAACTTGTCTGTACATTGCAAGTTTTAGGTACACTCCTGGCTTTAGTGTTTCTTACTAGCCAGATTAGGTGGCTCCCTTTTAATGTGCTGCCTTTTGTAACTCCCCAAACATTGTATAGGGAACCTAGGCACATAACTCAGGGCTGTGGACTTTGCTACAGGGACCAAGCACCTAAAAGTCAGGCATTCTGGTGCCTCTGTGGGTCTAGACTTAAGTGTCATCAACACCCATTGAGTTTATTGTGGCATTCGTTGGAACTGAGGGCACTCTGCATGTGGCTCCAATGATAACTGTATTCAACACCTTTCAGGAACTAAGCAACTTTGTATTTCTCAGCAACTGAGACATTTTAATTCTCAGAAAAGGTTGACTCCATCCCTTTCCAGGATATGGGTAGCTAAGCTGTGAGTCCCTTCTCTATTTCCCCTTTAATTTACATGTTGAACCAAATGACAACAATGCAAATTATGTTTTTCAAGACACTAAACTTGACTTTCTGGTTAATGCTGCTCTAGATCCAGTATATTAAGCAGAAAGCTTCTTCTACCAGCTCCTATGATATCTATGGCATTTCAGTAAAACATCAACACATGTGGACTTTGAAGATTGCAGGCTGTTTGAGTGAGATGAACAAGACATCCACTTTTCCTGTTACTACACTTTGACTGGCATTTTTGTATAGGAACAGCACCGCAGCACATGGGTTCTTGAGAGCTTTTTCTTTTTGGTGAATAAATGTAACTTTCCCCTAAGTGATGGTGTAAAACATGGCTATTGTGGAATACAATTATTGTGGAATGCAGAAAATATTGTGATAATCCCCATAATTTGTAAAATCTGATTTGCATGCTTTTGATTTCTCTTTTGTCCCTGATGCTAAAGAATTTGCTGCATGCTTTACTTGCAATCTCTTTTCATGCAAATTGCCCCTGTAATAACTTGAGACCAAGAAGATCTGTGCCTGCTGGCTCCTCTGCTCAGACTGCACAAAGAGATTCTGCATTCCTTTCACAGTGGGTACGACTTTACTGTGCTACACTGAAAGC